AAACTTATTAAATTATCAAAAATATATGAGAAGAGATTATAATTTTGAATTTAATCATTTAGCATCTTTATATATCATTGATAAAAAGAAAGAAGGTTATTTTAACAGAGATGATTTATTAGAATTTACTGGAATGTTTGTCCAATTTAAAATTAAGAATGAATATGATTATCTTCGAAAATTTCAAGCTTATGCTTCAACTGAATTCTGGAAAACTTTACAAGAATCTCAAGGTCAATATCAAGTTACTGAATGGATGTTAAGATTATTTAAAGAAAGTCGTGGTATTAAAATGTTTAGTGGTTCAAAAGAAGTATTTTTTACTTCTGCTAATATTAAAGAAATATATCAAGTATTACGTGTTGAAGATTTTAGTGGATCTACTGTTGATGAATTCATGAGACTCTTCCAAAAAGTTGCTGAAGATTCTGTTTGTTTTTATTATTTCATTTTTCTTCTATTATAACATCTATTCTCTTACTTGTTTTAGGGACAAATAGAATTAGGTGATTCTCAATTTGATGATGTAGTCCCTGCAATGGTTGTTGCAGAATTTTTTAGGTACTTCTTAGATGAATGTTATTCATATTTACAAAATATCTTATCAACAACTTCCACCAAACTATAACTTTGGTTTATTGAAAATATTATCAGTATAGTTTTGACTATTATCTTTTATCTTTTTCAACTTTGTTTTGATAATTGTTATATATATAATTTGTATCAACAAAATAGAGTTTTTTATCATCCAGAAATTTACTTAAAGATTTTATATGTCTTTTTCCACATAATTCATTTTTTATTTTAATTTAATAAAACACTTTGTATTAGTAACTTTAATAATTTATTGAATAAGAATAAACAGATAATAAAAAAGTAAATTGTTAAAGAATTAGATAAAATGATGAAAATACAATACTCATATAAAATACATACCAAATAAAAAGGGATAGTATATGAAAATATATAAAAAACTATGAACATGACAACAGACTAAATCCATGTATTGTTTTATTGAATGAATTACTTAATACCCAATATACAATAAAATAAGAAATAGGGTGGTATGATAAAAAGAAACAAAAGAATAGAAATAAACTAGTAGCACATAAATACGCATAAATAATCAAATAACAGTACAACCAAAGTAGTAAAGAGTCAGTTTGAGGTATTGTACATTGTTTGTATTGGAAAGATATCAATAAAAAATAAAAAGAGAGCAATAAATAAAATAGAAGAAATAAAAAACAAGAGAATACAACTACAAAATAAGGTTTGAATAATCGTCTTTTTGTATTCACATTAAATGCCAATTAAAGATGCTATACTTTAATATCTATTTATTAGGAATTAGTGATTATTAAATAAAAATAGAGAGTATATGAAAGATAATTCTACAAAAATTAATTCAAAAATATAACTAAGAAGTGTATGTCATTTGAGTGCATAAAAGATGAAAAGCAATGACAAAAGATCTAAAAAAAAACAGTTAAAATATGGAAGTATTATAGTTATTAATAAATAAAAAATAATTGGATATAAAACATAAAATTAGAGAAGATAAATAAAGAAATTAAGAAAAAAGAAGATAAGAAAAATTCTTTAAGATTCGACTCCCTTCTACTTTTCAAAAAGAACTAAAAGAACTTAAATCAACCACAACAGTGAAGATGTTCATTATAATATGTTTTATAGGTTTTTCAATTGTTAATGCTAAACTTATTTGTGGTGCTAAAAATACTAAAGGAGAACGAGCTGAATTTACTAGTTATGAATTAGATCAATGTTTTGAAAGTTCTAAAGAAGGAAATTATATTAAAGTTACTAAAATGTTTGGAGATTACAAATATATTACATATAATAAAAGTGGATGTACTGATGGTGATAATGTTACATCAATTATTTTAACAGATTGTAATGAATTTGATGAACCAAGTTATAATTTAGAAGTCAAATATGATTTAAGTGGTACAGATTGTAAAAGAAAAGACACTTTTGAAAAGAGTTATATTAATTTTGATATTTGTATGAATCAAGATGGATTTAAAAAATATTCGATTGAAGATGGTAAACTTGTTACTTATGAATATACAAATGATAAATGTGAAGATAAAATTGATAAATCTAAAGTTATTATTATTGAGGTTGATAAATGTATAAGTGATGAGAGTAGTAATTCTTCAAAATATTATGACAGTGGTGCTTATTCTTTCTTAACACTTTTTGTTGTCTACATTTTATTCTTCATATTCTGAATTGATTTTTGAATAATTTATTTTTTTTCTCTTTTTTACTTTTTTTTTTATCATATCAATAAAAATTAAAGTAATAATTCAATTAATGATAATAATGAACGTAATTCATTTTCTATTGAAGGACAAAGTAATTCATTTGGAATAAGAGATCTTAGTTGAATATAAAATATATATAATTCTTCTAATGAATATGGTTTTGAATTTATTATAAAAGAAGATTTTTTTAAACAATCAATAATAATATTTTGTTGAATTTCTAATGAAAATATATCAATAAAATAATTTAAAACTTTTAAACTTTGAATAATTTGATTAGTTTGAATTAATTGACAAATATAAGATTTAATAGAGTTTAATATTAATGTTTGAATTTTATATGACTGAGTTTTATAAACTTCTTTAATAATAGTTATTTGATTCATCTCAATAAATTGAACAATATTTTTAAATAATTTCTTTTCAAGTAATTCATTTGGGGTATCTAAAATAATTTCAATTTGAATAATTTCTTCAAAACTAATTTCTTTTTTAATTATTTTATCAAACATTAATTGTATTTTACTTATTCCTTCTTCACTCATCAGTTCTTTATTTAAATTATAATAATCAATACACCATTGAACACTTTTTTCATCATTCATTTCTTTAAAGAATTGAATAAAAATATTGTCACATTGTTTTTGAATTATTTCTTTAATTAAATAATCTTTTATCATTAATAATCGTGAAAACAATTCATAATATGGATTAATACTTGTTTTATTACTCTTTTTCCATACAATAACATTTAATTGCATTTCTTCTAATGCTCTTTCAATAACTTTTTGAATTGAAAATTCAATAATATCTTTTCTTTCAAAATGACTTAATACTTTCCATTTATAAATTCTTTCTACAAATTTAATGCACTCTTCTTGATCAATTATTCCTTCCATTTCTTCTCTTATTTCTTGAAATATTGTTTTTCCTTTTTCATATAAATTTATTTCTTTATTTTTTCTTTCAATCTCTTCTTCATTAATTGCAGCTTGACTTGCTAATTTACTTATTTTTTGTTTACTTATTTGTATTTCATCTTGAATATTTTGTTTTTTTTCATTTAATTTAATTTCAATTTCTTTAATTCTTTCTTCTAATATTATCATTTCTTCAATTTTTTCATTTGTTGCATCTTTTCCATAATGTTTTAATTTCATTTCAACATTTGTTTGTGGATTAATAAGGTGTTCATTAATCCCACATCTTTCATTACTTTGATTAATTTCAATTGGTTGTTCAATTCCTTGTTCAAATTTTCCCGCTCCTTTTCCTTCGCTCCACCCTAAAACTTTAAGCATTTCTTCTCCAATTCCACCTACACTCATTGGGGACATTTCTGATTTACTAAGTGCGTCTGTTTTCTTTTTTTTAAGAGGAGGCTTAGTTACTTTTTTTTTTCTTTTTATAGGACCAAAATCGTCTATACTAAATTGCATGAATTTAATATGGTTATGTTAATTATTCTTTTCAAATTCTATTCTTTTTTTTTTTAAAGTAAAAATTAATAAAATTATAATTAATAATAATAGATAAATAAATTATAATTTCTTATGGATAGACCATCACTTGGTTTCTTCTATTTAATAACAACCTCAAAAAACTAGGTTGGTCAGAAGACATTGTGTATCTCTTTCTTGTTTCTTTTAAAAGAGCTGATTTACTAGTTAAGTGTTTTTGAGTCAGACTAATATAGTTTAACTTGGAATTATTTCTACATTCAAGGTTTAAAGCAAATGCTTTAAAAGAATCATAATCTGCTACAACACTCAGTTCTACAGTCATTTCTTTACTAACATCATCTATTGGTTGGTTATCAAAACCACCCTTTAAAATGATATTTGCAATACTCTCTTTCCAAAGTTTATCATCTTTTAGCATAAGGATATTAGAATGTAATAATTCAAATTTATCAGTTTTGTTTACTTTCATTGATGTTATTGAATTATTTGTCATAGAATGTTGTAAAACTCCAAGTAATTCATCAAGAACTATTCTTTGTGTATTGTTAAATATAGATACTTGCCATTGACATTCTGTTTGGAGATTATCTATTTTATTGATCGTAGTGTTTAAGTGAGCTATGTCATGAATAATTTCAACACCTTCAATATGATCTTTAATTAGTGCATTATCAACAATATTTTTAATACTTTCTAATCGACTAACTTTACCATCAGCCCAAATATCGAATATTTTACACATACCAATAATAATAACTTGTTTATTATAACTCATAGTTGATAATACTCTTTTCATATATGTTTCTTTATCTTTTTTTGCTTCTATGATATCATTTTCATTACCACTCATTTCTATTTCATGAAATTTTTTATATTTTTCTTTAATTTGAGAATGAAATGTTATAGGAATAAATGGAGTTGGATGCAGTTTTAGTAAAAGTAATAATAGTTGTGAATTAACAACTGGCTCAGAGGAAGTGATTCCATCTTCAAGACAGTACATTGCTTCTATCCATCGTTTAGGTTGAACGTTTAAATTAAAGAAATCCTTATTAAGTGTTAAATTATCAGAAGTAAATACTGAATTCATTAACACTTCATATGGTTGTGGAATTGGGTTTGATATTAATTTGTCTGAATCAACTCCAAAACAATGTGTTTTAATTGAGGCAGTACAAAATTGTGCAATTTGATTAGATAATTTAATACAACCAGATAAAAGGTTTTGACATTCAGGCACCATAACAATAATGGGATTTTCTTTGGAGTCAGTTGACTCTACTAATAAAACCATTGCTTTATCTTTTGTTGCGTCATAATAGAGTTTAATTTTGTAATATCCTAGTGCAACAACAAATGTTTCTTTCGAAGAATAAAAGAATAAAAATCCTTCACGTATTATCATTTTATAACTCCTTAGTTGAACATTAACAAATGAACTGAAACATTCTACCTCATTCATATACACTATTTGTGATTTGACCCCTACTTCCATTTGATTTAATGAAGGTTGCATGAATCTACTTGGTATTAATACTAACTCACCATCAGTTTTCATTACATTCTTAGCAAATGGAGAAAGAAAATTGAATCTCTCTTTGTTTGAATTTCGGTACAAAATAGCATATTTCTCTTCATAAAATTCATCTTCTTGCATATCTTCTATTTCATAAAATTGTTTAATAATAATAATATTTTGAATAACTGGTTGTGTAGTGTCAAGACATAAAGTACTATAATGAATAGTATCTTTATGGTTATGATATTCAAAACACCATACCTTTACTTGAGTTATATCTTTAACAAGAGAAAAAATAGTATCTTCATTTCTTAAATCTTTTGTTGTTTGAAAGACCTTTCCTATTGTTTCTGAAATATTGATAATTTGCCCATTAGGTTGTTTTGGGTTAGGCGAGAGCATAAAAATTCCATCTGCATAATTAAATTTAAGAAAATCACTTACCAACATATTAGTATTACATGGTATAATTTGTGGATGAGTATAAATACAATTAGTATTATATTTTAATAAATGAAGTTCATTATTAAAAATCATTGTTTTACGATGTTCTTTTTCTATTTGAATACTCAGTTGGTATTCATTATCTTCATTACAATTAATTTTAAATAAAATAGATTCAATCCATTCTTGCATTGCTTGGTTATGTCCAAATAAATAAGGATATTTTTGACATTGTACCCAATCAACTATATAATGTGCTAATTGTCTACACTTTTCTACATTAATTAATACAAAACCTCCAGATTGAATAGATGGTTGTGCGTTTTTATTAATTTCAACTATTTTTCTAAGATATGTATTAACATAAGGAATACATGCACCAGGTATCATATTTGAATCATTCATTAACAATGAATCAATACTTCCATATGATTTAATTTGTCTGAAATTTTCCTTGTCATTATCATTAAGTTGTAAAAAGAGATGTTCTAATCTATAAATAGGGAACGAGTCTAATGCAGTGGCAATTTCAACTAATCCGTTCCAATTATTAAGGTCATTCATTCTAATTCCTACTTCAATAATCCTTTTTAATATCCCAAGTCTTTGATTTTGAGGAGCCAAAAGAATAAGTTGAACATACCAATGTTCCATCTTATTATGATGTTGTAAAAATTTGATTATATTAGAAGCTGTATTCTCTCTATTAGAGTTATTCCATGAATATAACTCACTAATATGAATTTTCATAAAAAGATCATATTCAATCAATGTAACTTGTTTAGCAAAGACTATAGCAGGTATATTAAGGAAATTGAATTCAATTTCTTTTAATACTTGTTGATTTTCTTCATTAATTACTATTTCATTTTGAACTTGTTCAATGTTAATATCTTCATTTTGTTTATTATTTTCTATTACCTCATTAACTTTAGTAGATGGTTCTATATTTATAATAGAAGGCTCAGTGGGTTTAGAAGTTTTTTTACCAATAAAGAATGAAACTTTTTTACGAGATGATTTGAGGTGTGGAGAAATGGTATTAGAACTAATGATAGATGAAGGGCTAGATACTTCATTATCAAAATGTATTGAATTCATTGATATTAAAGGACGAGAAACAGAATTTGTTTTAACAAGATTATCAGTAAATATCATTTGATTTAATGTTACATCAGCAGTAGTTGGTGGTAAAATAATTTTTGTTTGAGTTTTTGTAAGTAATAGTTCTAAATAATCAGCTGCATTAGAGTCAATTGAACGATGTAATTGGATAATGTTTTTAACTAAAGAAATAGTTTCTTTATCTGAAGTAATCATTACTTTAGTCATAAATTGAATCATATTATTAATAATAACATTTCTTTGATCTTTGTGTTTTTGGTATAATTCCAAAAAACGATTTAAAACCATATTTTGATCAGCATAACATCGAAAGGTATAAATAAATGCTTCTCTTGTAGCTATATCAGAACACGGTTCACAAATAAATCCAATTAATGCATCAAGACTAGCATAAATAATTTTATTTCCATTAATAATAAATTCTCTTCTTCTTGTAGGAATTACTTGACTTTCACGAAAATGGTCTTTTCTTTTACTATTTATTGATTGTTCTTCCATTATTTTTGAATAGATCTTCAAATTAGTTTTATCGTGTTTTTCTTAAAAATGTTATTGGATATATTTTATTTATAGAGTTCTCATCAAAAAGAAAAGAAATAATAAAATATAATAAAATTAACTATAAAATATGATAAAACTTATACATCACTTACAATAATCCAAAATGTTAGAAGAATGTAAATACATATGTCAAAACAATTAATCTAAATTACAAATAGATAATTTCATTTTACCGATATGACGAGCTTGCATAATTTGAGCATTAACAAGTGAATAAATATTATTATTTATAAATAACTCTGTTTTAAATCCTTTTCTATATAATAAACATAATTTCTTTATATTTATGTTTAAAATATTTTGTAATTCTTCGTATTGTTGATATAATTCTGTTTTTAGTTCAACCTTTTCAGAGGCATTATTATCATATTTATTCTTTAATTTATAAAAACCTCTTCCAACTGATTTGTCTTTTCCACTTTCTATTTGTGGGCAATGATTAAATGCATCAAGAATTGCTTTCTTCCAATTTTGTTGTTGAACTACCAAATGAATTTACCTATAGCCCAAATCAATAAATAAGAAAGAACAAACAAAGTTTTAATCTTCCTAATAAATGCCAATGATCAGTAATAAAATCATAAATATCTGTTTTTAATTGAAAATATTCATTTAATGGTTTAAGACATCTGAGTGAAGAGAGTATAAGAACGCATAATCTAGTGGTTTTAATTTTTGGATTAGGAACAAGGAAATATTGTTGTTTTTTACAAATTGAACAATAACAAGTAAATTGTACATCATGGTTGCTCATAGCAATTATAAAATACTTTAAACTCAAGTTTTTTTCATATTAAAATCAATCTGATTTAATTATGAAACACCGAAAACAGAGAAAATTTTTTCGATTTTTCTTTTTCTTACCTATTTTATTTTCTTCCTTTTCTATTTATTATCTTCTAATTATTTTTCCTCTTTTTCATCTTTTTGTTTGTTTTTATTTCTTGTTTTTTGATTAAAATAAAAGAATTGCTTCTTTTGTTCGGTGCCAATCCAGAAAAGTAAATCGGATGGGACATAAATCTCATTCGTCTAATGAGTTAATGATAGTAATTATTTTTGGTTCATTTATCTTTTTCCTGCTAATTTCTTTTATTTTTGTAACTTTTATAACAATTTTTGTTTTTGTTATTTATATAACAAAAAAGTCCTTTTCTTTTTTTTTTAAATTTTGTTTTAATATATTCTATTTTTAAATAGATTTTTTATTCTCAATTATTGGTTCTAAAATGAAAATTCAATTTGAAAATAAGCATCAGAATTAAAAACATCATTTTATTAGTGTTATAGAAGAGTTTTATTTAAATATTGCAATATTTTTATTTATTATTTTATGGTAATTTTTATAGAGATAAATTATTTTAAACTATCACAAAATAATAGAATAATTATTTTAATGGTCATTTGAAAATAAACACCTTTAATATTTGTTAAATTAGGTTGACATATCATAAATATAGTATACCAAAGAAAATAAAAAGATATTATTTAAATATTCATATTAATATAAAAAATATTGAATAACTGCTTTCATTTATGAGAACATATTGTTTTAATGACTTGTTATTGTTTATAATAATTACTCTTTGTTTTTTTTTTTAAATAAAAAATAGTTACACATTTGTAAATGTAATTAAAAAATGATAACAATGACTGTGTTTGTTAATCAACTGACTTATTCTAATTATATTATTAATAATTATCTCTTAGTTAAAAATAACTTTTCTTATTAAAATGAATTTAATAGATATTCCATTAACTTATACATCTTTCTGTGAATCTAAAATACTAACTAATCAATGAGACACATATACCCTTTAATTACTTTTGATTTATAAAATGTTAAATATTACTTTTTAATTTTCAATAAGTTTAATAAAAAATTAATTGTATCATGAATTTATTATGATAAGTATTTTTATAACAAAATAAGTGAACTTAAACATCTTATAAAAGGACATATTCTTTTATTCTCATTACCTACTTTTTTAACAAAAACCTTGTAAAAGATTAGTTTTATTTTATTATTTAAAAATCAAATGACCTCAATTAATTTTTAATGAGATATCAGTTTTTATCAAACAAATGCTTTTATCAATGATGTTCATTTTCTGGTTTAAAAATAAAAAAAAACATTCGTAGATTTATATATCTTGGTAGTTTTCCTCTTTAAATAAAAGGTTGTTTAGTCCAGGTGTTATTTTTTGAGTAAAATAAAAAGAAATAAACTGTATTTGATTACAAACACTAGGAATAACTTTATAGTGGCTATTAAAATATAACAACTAACTAGAATATATACGATATAACATAATAATTTTTAAGTCATTTTTATGTTAATATTCGAAAAAATTAAAAAAGAACTTGAAAAAAAGAAGAAAAAGAACTAAAAAAACTGTTAATTAATCAAACAAATAATGGCATTTTTAAGAATTCAAACAACAAATAAAATAGTGTTAATGTGTTCTACATTGCTTATGGCATTTGGTATAACAATTATTGTTATTGGAGTTGGAATGGGATTATATCTTGATAAATTATTTGAATTATTTAGTATTTTACCTTCATATTCATTCTCGATTTATTTATACGCTGGGAGTGCATTATTTTTATTATCAATATCTGCATTTATTCATGCAGTAGCAAAATATAATAAACCAGTATTAATTATTGTTTGTTTTAACAATTGTTAAGTTAGTTATAAGAAATAAAATAATGATAAATAGTTGTTATGTGCATGTATTTTTGTTGCTTTAATTGAATTATGGACATTAAGTACTGCTTATCAAAATATGCTTCATACTCCAAAATGTATGGAAAATCTTTACGATTCAACTACAAAAGGTATTAGACGTGAAATTAATTTAAAATTTGCTTGTTGTGGATGGAAATCATATAATGCTAATAGTTGTTCATTTACTTCAACAGATAGAAAAGTTGCATGTTATGATGAAATGATTTATCCTATTAATGTGAATTATATTATGATGATTGTTTTAATCACTCTTGCTACATTATTCCTTCTTCTTTTCATTGTAGTGTTATTCTTCCAACTCTTTACATTCCCTGCTTTCCCACCAGCAAAAAAAGATAAAAACACAGAACCATTAATGGAATAATTCATTCTTTTTGTTTTGATTGATTTTTATTATAAAATAAAAAAGAAGTATTGTGAATGAACCACTCACCCTTCTTTTTTATTTTTTTAATAATAAAACAGTTCTTTTAATTAAAAAAGAATAAAAATAATACAAATTCTACATGAAAAAACTTAAAATATTATAATCTCTTAAATTCTTCTTGTTTTTTGTTATATGGAATTTACAAAACAGATTAATTTAAAACTATATCGTAGAGATGCTATCCAAATAATTCCTTGGAAAAATATTACTTCTATTACAATAAGTACAACTTCTAAAGAAGAATATGAAGAAGAAATTAAAAAATTAACATTAGATTTACATAATTCTACTGTATTTATTAATGCACAAACTTCAAGACTATTTGATGCAGTAAATAAAATTGCTAAATTAGAAAATACTACAACACAAGCAGAAAAACTTGCAAAAGATAGTAAAGAACAATTAGATTTATATATTGAAAAATCAAAAGAAGAAGATAATAAAACTCAACAATTAGAAAAACAAATTGATTATTTAAAAAATGAATTAGGATTTTCAAGAACTCAGTTAGGTGAAATGAATGAAAAGTTTAAACAAGTCAATTATGAAAATCATAGATTACTTGATATAATAGAAGATCTTAGAAAACAATTAGAAAGAAATTCTAATTCAAATTATATTCAAATATCTCCTTTACCTCCTCAATCAACTCTTGAAGAACCTGAAAAACGTCCTTCTCCTGTTCATAATGAAGTTAATACAAATCCATCAAGCACCAAATCATCAACTCAATCAAAACCTAAAATATTACAAAAAGGTGTTTCTTCTGATATACTTGATAATAAAGAACATTCAAAAAAATCTACAGGAATATCTGAAACAAAAACTTGTATAGCAAATTTGGTCTGTCATGTCCCTTCTATTGCTGTTAGAAATATGGCTGGTCATACTGGAGACATTACAGCTATTGCATTTAATGGTTCAGGACAAATATATGCCACTGGAAGTGAAGATAGAACAGTAAGAATTTGGGATTCAACCACTTCTGTTTGTAAAACTTTCTTAAGAGGAATGTCTCAATCAGTAACTTCAATAGATTTTAGTGAAATTAATGATTTATTATTAGTAACATCAAATGACGCAACAGTCAGAATATTTGATCTTAATAGATATTCCGCTAGATATACATTAACTGGACACTCAAATAGAATTACTGGAGGAAAGTTTATTGACGCAGAAACTATTGTCACTGGATCTACTGATAGAACATTGAGGTGGTGGGATATGGCACATAGTAGATGTAAATTAAGTTGTCCAACTGGAAGTGCTGTTAGTGGATTAACATTAATGAGAAATCAAGCAGTAACAAGTCATATAGATGGATCTATTAGATTCTGGGATAATAGACAAAAAGATCCAGTAGGTGTAGTTAGTGTATTTGATAGTGTTGCATGTAGTGATGTTGTATTTGTTGATGGTGCTGCTGAATATCTATTGACCAATGGCAAAGACAATACAATATGGATGGTGGATCCTTTTATGATGAGAGTAGTCAAAAAATATTTCAATGACGATTATATTAATCCTGGAAGTAGAATAGGTATTTCAGCAGATAAATCTTACATGACAGTGGGTTCTGTTGATGGTGCAGTTTATGTGTGGAATCTAACAACGAGTAAATTCGCATGTTGTGTTTATCCTGAAGTCAATGTACATCAAGGAGGATCATATCAAAGTTGTTATTGCTCAACTTGGAATCCATTATCTTCACAATTAATAAGTGGTTACGGAAGAAATGTTATAGTTTGGGATGACTGATTAATACAAAACCGATTTGTTTTAAGTTCTTGTTAATGTATTACACTTTTGTTCTTTTTTAATTTTTTAAAAGTAGATTTGAACTAAAACAAGTCTAATATTTTATAAATTGATATTATTCTTTATTTGTATTTACTGTGTTATAACTGTTTATTTATAATTAGTGAGATTATTCATTTAAAAAGAAATTTATTTTAATAAAAGGAATTTAACTTATGAAATTTTATTAAAATATTATTTTATGAAAGAATAAAAAATATGACAATACGATTTCTTCTTTTACAATGAACCAACAAATTAGATGAATCAAAACCATATAAATAATAATAAAACAACTACTTTATCAAGTTATATTAAGTTAAAGTCTTTTCTTAAATAAGATATAGATATAATAAAAACTATTATCTTTTTAGTTTTTTATTTAAAAATTATTATAACTATAAAAATAGCAAAGATATTTATATAAATTCATTAATTCTAAAGAAAAGGATAATTCTATTTATTTAAACCAATAGCCATTGAAAGTTATTTATCATTCCAAGTCATTTTAATTATCAAAAACAATATAATTAAAGTTCTTTTTTGATTTGATCCTTTTTATGGGTTTTAGACTTTATTTTCTTTTCTTTAGAAAATAACAATCGGAGTGCATCTTCATTTTTAGTCAATGAAACTAATCCTTCTAATGAATCTATATCAATTCCAAACAAAGTATTCCAATCAGTTGTTTGGAAAAATTTTGCTATTTCTGGATCTTCTGTGTATTTCCTCAACTGATTTAGTGCAATAACAAACTCTTCATTTTTAAATGGGTTTTCTTTTAATTCTTTTAATTGAAAGTCTTTTGCTTCTTTAATATTGTCCAATCTTTGGTTTTTTAATTCTTCAGCCTTTAACCTTCTAACTTGCTCTTCTTCATCATCTTCAATATATTGTGGCCATTTACTTTTGTCTATTGGAGGTAGTGGCTGAAATGCTATTGAACTATGGTATTGTATATATTTAATAAGAGAGTCTTGATCAGGAAATTGTTTAAATTCTTGTTCTGTTGGATTTTGTTGAGTATTGTCATTCATTTTATAGAATAAATATGTAGGTATGTCGTCAATTAAAATATCAACAGGGGCATCATCAGTTTCAATATTAAATAAATACATTTCTAAAGTATTTTTTTCTAGAATAGGAGCAATTCTTTTATATACAACACTAAACTCTCTATTTACAAAGTTCTTTGATAGGATAGAGTTATCAATTAAAATTATAAAATAATCTTTTGTTGGATCTAGCCCTTTATTCCATTCTTCTCCTGTTAGAAATGGAATATCTCCCTGTTTTGAATGATTAGAACTCTTAATGTCTGGTTGTAATTCATTTGCAAGAAAACGTTGTAATGTTAATTCAAGAACATCAAATTGAGTTTGGTTAAGAGGGTATGATGTTCTACCATTTTTATGAAGAATAGTAATAGTTTTTGTATGATTTTGATGATAAAATTCCATTGTCTCTTTATCATCTGTGTAAATAAAAACCAATTCCCCTCTATATGCTCTAGACAAAGAGACATAATAAGATTTTATTTGTTCTGTAATATTTATATCAAAATACCATACAATTGGATATTTCTTTGGAATTACAAATAATAATTCAATAAGTTGTTTTGAACCATCATAAAATAAAGGAATTCCCATAGCAGAAACCCATTCAATAAGTCCAAATTCGTTATTAATTACTTTTGTTTTATTAGAATCAAGATAAGGGTACTCTATAATTTCTGAAATATTGTCATATGCTTTATTATTATAATAAATTAGTTGTTCTGTTTTATTTTTTAATAAACTACTTCTAGTTTTATCAACAAGGAAAAACCCTAATTCAGAGTATTGTTGAAATACATCAGCTATATCATTGTACTCATTTATTAAGTGTTGTGGCGTTGATTCAGAAGTAAACAAAACTATATAGGTAATCTTCTTTTGACGTTCTAACAATGAAAGGTCTTCTTCGTTTATTACATAAACAACAGGTTGAATTCCTCTTTGAATAAATTCTTCCAAACTATCAAATTCATCTTCATCAAATGTTCTATCTCTTAGATGAGCCCTATGAAAAAGAATAGTTGGAAATTCTTCAATAGAATAGTCAAACACTAAATCATATATACTATCCCTATCTACAACAACAAATTTAATTTGTCGATACTTCTCACCAACTTTATTAAGTGTTTTGATAATAGGGATACATTCCTGAATAGTAAGATGACAAAATAATGCAACAACATATTGATTGTCATCATTAAAAAGTTGTCTAAATTCAGTCCCATTAACAAGTGAAACAAATTTGAATTTTTTAAGACTCATTTCTTTTAATCCTTTAGATGCGCCATTCTCTTTTGTTGCTTCAACAATAAAAGAGAAGAAAATGAAGAAAATGTAGAACAATAACATGATAAAAAACACTGGAAAAAAATAGTTAGCTATTAACAAATCTTTATTTTTAATATTTTTTATTTGGTGATTTTTTATATAAAAAATAATATGAACTAAAAAACAACAATTAATTAACAAAGAATGAAAGATAAATAGAAAATAAATAGAATGTAAATATAATAATTAATAATAAATAATTATTATATTTTGTTAGAATAATTTATTATTAAATTTCTATTTTTATTTCTCAGTTTTTTTTCTTTTTTGTGTTATTTGTATTTGATATTTTTTTTATATCTTTTTTAATATTCTTTTATCATTTACTTCTTTATTACAATACATGAACCAACATAAGACATCAATATGAAAGAGAGCAAGAAAATAAAAGAAAAGCACAATAATACAAAGAAATGATGAAT